CTGTATTCTTGAAGATTGCCATTCTGACAGGAGATGAAATCTTAGAGTAGTTTTGATTTGCATTTCTCTAATTGCTAGAAGTGTTGAACATTTTTCATATATTTGTTGATTAATTATATTTCTTCTTCTGTGAAGTATCTGTTCAGTTCCTTAGCCCATTTATTGTTTGGGTTATTTGTTTCAATTCCCAATAGCTAGACTATGAAACCAACCTAGGTGTCTCTCAATAGATGAACAGATAAAGAAAATGTGGTTGGGCTGGGACTGTGGCTCAGCAGTAGAGTGCTCACCTTGCACACACGAGGCCCTGGGTTCAATCCTCAGCACCACATAAAAATAAATAAACGAAATAAAAGTATTGTGTCCAACTATAACTAAAAAATAAATATTTTAAAAAGGTGGTATATATACTCAATGGATTATTACTCAGCTTTAAAGCATAGTAAAATTATAGCATTTGCCATAAATGGTTGGAGTTGAAGAATATCATGCTAAGCAAAATAAGCCAATCCCACAAAACCAAAGACAGAATGTTTTCTCCCTTTATTTTCTTTCTACTATGGATGCATTGAGGCACTTGATCTCACTCACCTTAATTCTCTATCATAGTTGACTTACACAGAGTTCTCATGTAATCCTTGCAACTTTACAAGCCTTGACCAACTTCACTGTAAATGGTCATTTCTCTAGCTAATGTCTGACCTTATCAAGGAAACTCAAGTCCAAACAAGAAAGACAGGAATATCCCCATTACTGAAATGTGACAAATAAAGTTGTAACCTAAGAGAAAATCTAGAAAGCATGGACCAGAGTATGAGAATACATTATTCAACAGTATCCCCGGAACAGTGGTTCTGCATGCATTGGCCCCAGAGGCCAGCTCTTTCATGAAGACAGAATCATCTCCCTGAAGGCCACCTAACTCCCGCTGTTCAAATCCACAAGCACCAAGCCACCTTTTGTAAGTAATTTCATTTCCCGTGTAACTTGATAACAAGACAGAATGGCTCTGTTATTTTTGTCACTGAAAATATAAGTTCCCTCATGAGCCTGAACATTCTGGTTGACACACCCATCTCAAAAATGTTTAATTTGCATAAATCAGTTCTCAAGAACACAGTCACCTTTGGATGTACTAATAAAGTCAATTTCATGTCCCTACAAAGCTGTCATGGGGCCAGTGACACATCAAGGTACAGCCTTCCTTGAAGGTGCTGAACAGCCAGCCACCTTCTTGTGCTTCTTCATTACTTATTTTAATGCCATTTAACTACTTCTACACAACACAGTCCCAATTCGCAAAGCATTTCACACTGTATGTATTTCATCCTCCTGATGTCTACAAGCAAATACTCTCCTCTCCATTTCACCTAAGTGACAACTGAGGCTCAGAATGGTCATGCAGCTCTTCCAAAGATCCACACATCCTGTAAGCTGTGAATTAGTTTTCTAAATGCCTGCCCTTTAAATATTAGAGTGGATTAAACCCAGATTCTCTAAATCAAAGTTCCTGTTTTTTTCTGCTCCTTCATAATGCTTTCCAAATTCTCACGTCAGTCCAGATTCTCACTCCAGTCCATAGCTGGAGTCACCCCCAAAATGGCAGCAGGGAAGCCCCAATCATGCATGACAAGATGAGGACAGCTGGTATCCCAACGGGAAAAGTCCTAAAATACTAGGATGATCAGTCCAAAGTATTCATTAGTGGAATTTACATAACATGGGAGCTGCAGAGTCCTCATGGTGGGCAGCAAGACAAGGTTCTCTGCCTCAGAATGTCAACAATAAGCAAGTCAAGTTATGGAGTTGCCTATGATGGTTTAAGGAATTTGGTTCAGGGCAGAGGCTAGTTTCTACGTGTTTCGCAAAAGGATTAGCTTCTCAGTGTTTTTAAGCAATGAATTAAACAAGTTTAGCAATGCCAGGGAATGTTCAAGGCCCAGGATGGGTACAAGCCTACAGGGAAGACATGCAGTTGGCTGGTCACGGAGCAGTCAAGGTACCCTATGCTCCTCAGGATACAACAAAAGCAAGTAGAACCAGCAGACCTACAGGAGGGGTGACTAGGGAGGAAGAAGAGAGCTTGCCCCAATTGTATTTATTTAACACTGTCCACCTACAGTCTCCTCATTCCTCTCAGCCCTTACTGACCCTGGAGCCAGGAACTTTTCTTAATTAAAAGCTAAGAAAATTGGTCCTTGGAGACTTTGACTGGCTTTTTCATGGCCTAGGAGCTGGTGGGAACCATTGGGGAGAGGATGCTCACTTGTTCCTTTGAACAAGCACCAATCAAGCTATCTGGAGTCTGATGAGCTGTGAAATGACAGCCAGCTTGTGGTCACCATCACCAATGTTGTCACTAGAGTTAGCACTTACTGTGTGATTCCTTTGTGCTCAGACATGTTCAGTCGTCTTACCAATCCCCCACAGTAGACCCCATGAGGAAGACATTCTTATCCCCATTTTGAAGAGATTGAAAATGAAGTGCAGAGAGGTCTGAAACTTGCACATTTTCATATAATTAGTAAATGGTGGTGGTCAGATTCAAACTCAAGCACATCTGACCTCAGCCGCCTGTGCTTCTGGCCACTCTGCAAACCCTTTGTACTACATCACAGGTCCGGTCTGCGTATTGACAAGGGCACCTCTTAGACTAAGCAAAGCTTTGGGTGGTGGCCAGAAAAGGGAGCGAAATGGCATATCCACCTTTCTATTACCACTCTGGGTTCTTGAGCACCCCTACAACAAAGTCTGCATTTTGGCTACAGCAACTTATTGGTCCCCACCACATCACTGGCTGTGCCGCCTAAACAATGACCTTTCAACATAATACTCTCCCTTTTCCCCAATGTCAGACTCTTCCTTCCCAACCTGTTTGCTTATGTCCCTCCTTTAAGAAAGCTTTCTCAGATCAAGAAAACCTGCCACCCCAGACTCTCCATTTCTCCCGAACATTTCCATCCTCTGGGAGAGAGCCTGACTCTCTATGATTTCACCCTAGTTAGAGGTTGCCCGATCCATCCCCCATCTTGCTTGTGGTCAAGTGTCTCGACTCCTCCATGCACCATGTGACTCTAGTGTCTTCTTTCACTCCCACAAAACATCCATCCAGGGGTAGTGCACAAACAAAGGAGATAGAGGCCGATGGAGAATTTCAAATGCAGTTTATTGCAGCAAAACAAGGAAATGGGGAGTTTAAGACCTCTCCATAAAAGACAAACATCTTGCATACACCTTATATACAAAACCAAAGCAGCACAGAGTTTGCTGCAAGAGACAGGCTATTAAGGAGCTGTCCAGAACATGCTCTCTGTGCACAGCAAAGAAGCCCTGGGTATAATTAGTCCTCGTCTGGCTGGATTACTGAGGCTCTTTGAAATGTCATGTGTGTAGTGGTAATTGCTGAGCTATTCTCAGGCAATACACAAAGCAGGGTTTTAGCCAGGGGACTGAGACTGTCATTGATCTAATGACTTCTTTTGGAAGCAAAGCAGAAAAGAAAGAGCAAGGGAAATAGGATGAGATGGTGTAGCTAACCATAGCTCTTTTCTCCAATAAGGCTTGGGCAATTGACCTTGATCTCTTGTCAAGCACATTTGGTAGGGATGGAGAGGGAAGAGCTAATGGAATAGAGAGCACCTCTTTATCTGGACCCTCGGGAATAACTGGTGGAAACAAACTTCACACTAGAACTGCCACCAGAGCTCTTGACACCCCCAGAGCTGGATCCCCGGCCTCCAGAGGAGCTGTAGCTGCCTCCAGAGCTACCACCGCCGGAAACCCGGCCACCAGAGCTGCCGCCACCCATTCCTGAGCCACCTTTGTGGCCTCCAGAGCCATAGCTGCCGCCTCCGCCGCCACCTCCAGAACCGTAGCTGCCACCTCCGGAGCCGTAGCTACCACCACCTCCGGAGCCATAGCCGCCACCTCCGGAGCCATAGCCGCCTCCTCCAGAGCCATAGCCGCCACCTCCTCGGCTACTACTTCCACTGATGCTGGTGTGGCTGGTGCTCACGGCTGCAAAAAGAAACACTTGGTCATCTCTAATCCCACTCCCTTTCCAACCCAGCAGACCCTGCACACGCCCCTGAGAAATTGGCTTGTACTTACACACACTCACGTTGGGGGTACACTCTCCAGACATCCTGTAGGAGAAAATAAATAAGCAAATCTCTCAGGACACTGCAGCTTCACAAAGCCCTTCCTCATGCTTCCTCACAAGCTTCAATCAGCTCTCAAGGAAGGAAGCCCTTGGAAATGATCAAACTCTTGCCATCTCAGAGACTCTGCCTCACTGAGGATCCTCCAACCCACCTGATCTAAACCTACTCCAGCTCCACTGGCCTCCCAAACCTCTGCTGTTTTTCTAAGCATAAGTACAAACAGGCAGAGAGAAATCCCCATATACAGTAGATAAGAATCTTGCAGCGAGTAAGGGCCACCTGTGAAAGGATTGACTTTGTGACAGGTGATATCTGAGCTCGCCCAAATGAAGAACAAATTGCTCCATTGCAGATATAGAAATGTCATAACTCTCAAAAAAGGAAAGAAAAGAGAAAGGAAGGAAAAATACAAAGGAAAAGAAATAGAGACTCTGGCTCCCAAAGTGAACCCCAAGTCCTTGCTCCTGCCCATGCCTTCACTTCCCCACACCCAGGTCAGGCCATCGTCCAATGGCTGCATCTTCAGCAACCATCAGCTTGCAGGAAGGAAGTCCATAAGAAGTGACCAACTGCCAGGGTCCCTTCCTCACCTGCTTTCCTCTCCTTCCAAGAGGGTCCTGTAGGTGGCAATCTCCATGTCCAGGGCCAGCTTGGTGTTCATCAGCTCCTGGTAGTCACGCAGCAGCCGGGCCAGGTCCTCCTTGGCCTGCTGAAGAGCATCCTCCAGCTCATTCAGTTTGTTCTGGGCATCTTTGAGGGCATTCTCGCCACGCTGCTCAGCATCACTGATGGACTGCTGAAGGTGGGAGATCTGGAAAAGAGAAGCCAGTGCATTAGACCTGCTCAGAACACCCAACCCTGCTTTGACCCTCCCATGGCAAGTCCATCCCCCACCCCATGAGCTGAGTCCTGTAGAACCACTGGACATTAAGCCACCACTGGATAGCACATCACCAGGCTGACTTCCTTGAATGATCTTGGCCTTGACTCAAAGCTCCTCCAGCCTTCACAGACCTGCCATTCTTCTCCCAGCCTGCCCTAAAACCTCCTGCTGCCTCTCCTCCCACTCCTTGGCTCCTAAGTCCCACTTGGGGTCATAAGCTAGGTCACCCACCACATCCTCTCCTTTTCACAAATTTCCCTTTTAAAAAAATCCTGCATGACAGCTAAGTTCTGGAAACCAGAATAGTCACTGAAGGGACTGGAGGCAATGTAGCCTTCTTCTGGATTGTCAGACTCAAAGCTGGGGAACTTCCCCCACAGCCTGAGGTACACCCTCTTTCCACACAGCTGAGCCCTAGAAGAAAGAAACAAGTACCTGCTTCTTAACACTGTCGATTTCAGATCTGAGTCTTTGGATCACCCGATTCAGCTCAGAAATCTCCATCTTTGAGTTTTTCACACTGTCACCATGTTTGCCAGCAGTGACCTGCAGCTCTTCATACTAAAGATGATGGATCATGTCAGTGAGATGTGGGCAGAGCCAGGAATGCTTGCACACACAAAAATAGGAGAAAGCATAGGACAAGAAGTCAAGACATCACAAGGGAACTGGCTAGTCATTCAGACACTCACCTTGGTCTGGTACAGGGCCTCGGCCTCAGCCTTGCTCCTCTGGGCAATGTCCTCATACTGGGCCTTGACCTCAGCAATGATGCTGTCCAGGTCCAGGCTGCGGTTGTTGTCCATGGAGAGGATGACATTGGTTTCACTGATGTGAGTCTGCATCTGAGACAACTCCTGCAGGACATAATAGTTCAGTGACTCCTAGAGTACTGAAACAAAAACCTCTTATACAGAGGGAGGTTCTGGAGACAGAAGATGCATTTCTATTTTTTGGAAACTGGTGGGTTCTGGTTTCAAGGTTCTATCTTCAATTAAATACACTTGGTTGAAATCAGAGGACTTACTGCTTGGTAGAGTGTGGTAAGGAATTCAATTTCTTGCTGCAAGTTGTCAACTTTGGCATGAAGGTCCACCTTAGTCATGTAAGCACCATCTACATCCTAGAGGAACGAAGGACATCATGAAGCCATACTCTTTCCAGGATGGCTCCCTCTCTCCAAACATGAGGGGCTTTCCAAGCAGGAGTGAAGCTTGGGGACTACCCCACATCTCTTTAGCCCAGAGAGGTCACAGTTTCTGGGTTGCTCCCCTGCTTAGCATCACTATCAAGGGAGATTGCCTGACTTGCTAAGAACTCACCTCCCCAGTACCACATGAGTTGCTGAGAAATATGGAGGAATTAAGTACTCAGGTTAATACAGGTCCACATTATGTGAAAAAAAAACAACTCTCCTCTAGATATTCAGCAGACCCACTACCTAGATCTCTGCATCATGCTGCTTATGAGTGGAGACCCTATTCTATTATGTATTTAAGAGGTATGTTCATTCACAGGAATTTCTCACCTTCTTGATGGTCACAAATTCATTCTCTGCATTGGTCCTCTTGTTGATCTCATCCTCATACCTACAAAGAAGCAGAAGTGATTAGGAGATTCAGAGGAGTGAGGCCCAAAGTCCAGCATTCTAGACTAAAAGTGGCCTTGCCTGTTCATCAGCTTACTATTGAGAACCAGGATATCCTGGCCACCCCTTTCTTCTGAGCAATAAAACCACTAAACTATTTCCACCTTCTAAGAAGATGAAAATTTCTGAAAATACCATGCTGATTTGCTTCTAACCTAAGGAAAGACATTAGCTACAAATGCATCATATTCTCAGCTTCTCACTTTCTGGAACTCTTGTAGAGCAAGAGCCAAGTGCCAGCCAGGCTTCCTTACTTGTTACGGTAATCCTCCACCAGATCTTGCATGTTCTTCAGTTCCGAATCCATCCGAGATTGGTCGCCCTTCAGTTGGTCCACTGTCCTTCGGAGGTTGGAAATATAGGTCTCGAAGTAGGGCTCTAAACTGTGGGTTCTTGTGGTGGTGTCCACCTGCTGCAGCAGCTCCCATTTTGTTTGTAGCACCTGGTTCTGCTGCTCCAGGAACCTCACCTAAAAAACAAGACCCATTACCCCTAGTGCAGAAATAGGGTCCCATGGGGTCCCAGTGCCTCATTTGGGAAAGAACTTCAATCCTATTTCCTGGCCATGACAAAGGGAGAAACAAGAAGATGATGATCAATTTAGCATCATCTTCATAACAAAACCCAACTCATTTTAATTCAGAGAAGGATTAGAAGGAAGTAGTTATACAATGCCTGTAGCAAAGCCCACAAAAAATATTGCAATGATTCTTTGGAATAGATACATGATATTCAAGAGCTTTGCCAAATTTTTTCCAGTAGATAACCATAAGAATTGGTTTGTATGACCTGGGCATATACACAGTTCAAAATTGTGCTGAGAAAATTCAAACTTGGATTTGAAATTGTTTGTGGATCCCTTGGATTGACAGTATTGATGGTTAAGAAGAAAAGTGGAGAAGGTTTACATGTTTATCCAGAACTGATGATGGGAAATAAAAGAATTTTAAAATACTCCACTGGTCTAGTATCAATGTGAAATTCTCAGAGGGTGGAGCTCTCTTCTAACAGCCAAAAATGTTCTACGCTGACTCACTCCATCCTTTCTGCTACATCACAAGGCACTCTGTCCACACTCAGTTCTCTTTTTTATGGCTAGGAAGACACTTCCATGGTTCTCATTGTGCCCTAGAAAGTTCCATAAGCCCCATTTCTATTATCTTCATTCAACAGATCCCAATCCAGCTCAAGAGCTAAACAAAAACATTTAAGGTAAATGTTCAAGAGAAAGATGTCATTGGCATCATTTCTGAGTATAATTCTAACATATCTCCTTAGAAGCCCATTCCACAAAATATCCCTTCAGTCATCCAAACACAGAAATATGAAGTTGAGTCCACATGTTCTGGGCTGTTCCAACTTCACATGACCCAGAAGCAGCTCTCCCAATGCACTGAACAGATGAACTCACCTTGTCAATGAAGGAGGCAAATTGGTTGTTGAGTGTCTTGATCTGTTCCCTTTCTCGAGACTTGACTTTTTGGATCTCAGGGTCAATCTCCACATTGAGGGGTTGCAGAAGGCTCTGATTGATGGTGACTTCTTGGATGCCACCAGGGGGGCAGACAGGCCCAAAGCCACCCCCATATCCACCAATTCCAAATCCACCACCTCCAAAACCACCTCCACTGCCAAAACCACCTCCACTGCCAAAACCACCAAAGCCTCCACCTCCAAAGCCGCCACCACCAAAGCCACCACCGCCAAAACCACCACCACCAAAACCACCACCACCAAAACCACTACGACCACCTCCTCCAGCCACACTTATGGAGATGCTCTTGCTGCCACCAAGATTAACAAGACTCCGACTGCCAAAGCCACCACCGGCACCTCCAGCACCTCCACCACAGAATCCTCCTGAAATTCTCCCGCCACCTCCTCCACTGCGGCGGACAGAGCTGCTGGTGGACCTGCGATGGAGGCTGACAATGCCTGCGGAGCCAGAGCTAAAGCCCCTTCCGCCCCGGCACACCGACCTGGAGCTACACTGCCTGCTCATGGTGGCTTAGAGAAAAGTAGGAGCAAAGAAGAAGAAGGAAGGAAGGAGCTGAGCACTCCTCTACCCCAAGCCCAGAGACTTCCCCTTATATACAGGGAGGAAATTGGGCTTGGTCCTCCAGAGTCAGCGGAGATGCAGCGCCTCCAAAGGGTTTGGCTTGCCTGCAGCCATACAAGATTTTTACGAGCCTCAACAATACGATAAACACTACACACCTAGCTCCCAGGATGGGCTCTCGAAAGTGCTGTGCAGGCAAGATTGGCTCATGTGGTAATCATTTTATCAGACGAGATCTCTCCTCAAGCATTTGTGACTTTGGGAAAATAGGACCCCATATCTGCTACCTGATGTTTCTTAGAAGGATTTCATAACCCCTGTCAAGGTATGTAAGTTTCCATTCTCAGCTTGCCCTTTTGATCTACCAAGCCCACTCTGACACCATGAGTAGCAGGTGCAATTGCCCATGCTTGGATCTCTGAAGGAGCTCTGAAGGACCCATTTCTGAGATCTGTCCTCCAAACCCCAAAGCTCACCAAATTGCATCCCCTAACACAGAATAAGGGCTTCAGTAACTAAAAAAAAATTTAGAAGCTTTTAATGCAAGCTTTCACAAATGCACCACACTGGTTGCTTAAAGGGAAAGATGCTATCATCAAACAGGATGGGTAGGTAGGAGGTCTGGGAGAACCAGAGGGGAGAGGTAGTCTTTTCTAAATTTCCCAGTTGTTTCTTTTCTTCAAAGGTAGACCAGGCCAGGAGACAGACATCAGAGGCATGACAGAGACACCAGCAACAGAAAACAGGTGCCCCTGGGTGGTTTGCAGATGTCACTTGAAAAAAGCACACAGAGCAGTGAGATGAATAGATATTTGGTCCATTTGGTAAAGTGAAGGACGGGGAGGTGTGGAGCCCCACGGGGGTCCCATCCTTTCATTGGCCCATGAAAAAGAGTGAATATAGATTTGGAAAGGAGGCTAATATGGGAGTCTAGAAAACCTAATCTGAGAAGTTGCCATGGTTTCCGGAGGCAATGATAGTAATGATGATGGCAATAACAGTTATCATGTATCAAAAACTGACCTATGTCAGGTACTTTTTATATATTTTATGTGTATTAACTTTCACAATTACTTTGAGATAATACTATTATTCTATCCATTTTTAAATGAGGAAACTGAGGCACAAAGATTGATGAGCCTCCCCAAGTCTCCACAGATGGTAAGTGGCACAGCTAGGATTTGAGTCAAGGATGCCGAACTACATGTAGTGTGCTAAATCCTAACCCATGTTAGGATTTAGCACACTACATAGACAACAGCACAGCAATTGACTTTAGTTCTGCCTGCTGTGTTAAAGGCAGATTGCAAGCAAAGCTGTCCCACTGCTGAGGGCTTTGAGAGCAAAAAGCTTATTTTATCACTTTGAGTCCTTTACTCCTGGCACATGCAAGTACTTGCAAAATATTTCTTTAATTCACCCTGAGAAGGCGAGATTGGAGATGCAGAGTTCAGGTAATCTTAGATTTTGTCCAGGTACAAGAGGATTCCGCATGTGTTGCAATAGGCAGGGAAATCTCAGGGCCCTTCCTGGAGAGCAGCACTTGATCAATGTTGGTGGACAGCAATGGCAAGATTTGGAAAGTCCAGAACCCCACACAGACTGTCATTTGGAGACTTCCTAGAAGCCAGGCAGGCTCCCCATTCTTACATATAAGCAATGGAAGACAGTGGAGAGAAGCCTGATCTAACTTCACCTGACTGCTAGCAACTCTGTCAGTGACAAATCATAGACATGGATGGTAAGACTCCACTGTGGAATGCAAAATCTGCAAGAATTCTGGGAAGAACATCTGGCCCCATTGACCTGTGGCTCTGATCCAAAATGCAATGTCAGCCTTCTGCACCCCCTTCCCACCTCTGACCCTGTCTGTCCTTTCCCATGGTGTTTGCTCCACACCCTCCTCCAAAAAGTACCTCCACCTCTCATCTGCTCTCTCTCTCTCCCTCCCATCTCCATGACACTGTTGTCAAAGACTCTGTCCTAGCACTACCATCCTTAGGCTGCTAAACCAAGCATCTCTTTAGGGAATGAGTAATCCAGGTCTTGGGAACAATAGGGTCTGGGATGGTCCTGGCATGGCAATCACTGTTGCCTAATCACTTTCTGAAAGGCAATCAAAATTATTTTAATTCAGCATACTCCCTATGAGACATATCATTCTGCACAATCGATTCCTTCTAGCATTTTGGAGGAGCATGCATGTGTGTATGCATACATGTTTGCATGTGTGCACGCACCAGCCCAAAGCATACCCTTGTAGTGATCTGCGCTTTCAAACTAAGAAACTGACCAAGAGAGAAAGAAGTAATAGTCAAGCAATAGGCAGATGACAAACAGAGCTGCAGACACCTGAGAAGGCAGAAAAGCAGGAACTAGAAGGAATAGGAAAGCATAAAAGTCACCATCAGTTTACATTTGCACAGTTCACCCCACCAAGTACCTGCCCAAGAGTCCTGAGAACAAGGCAGTCAAGCTCTTTCCAATCCATTAGATAAAAAAGAAAAAGGAGACCCTGGGATACTGTGATTTACTCTAGCCACTACAGTTAGGAAAAGACACATCTGGGACTAGACCCAAGGCTTTCTATTGAGCTTTCTCCTACCCTGGAGAAGAGGCACAAAGATAGAGAAGTGAAATTGTTTCCTATAAATGAGTGCAGAGAATCACAGAAAATTCCCATCCACTGATGCTCAAAGAATGCAGCACATAACTTGCCTAGCACAGAATCAAGAATGCAGGCCCAGAGAAGTAAACAAAATTTGTCCAGGTCACAATCAATTCCCATTTCTGAATCAAACTCCTATTCTCTTTCCACTGCTCCCTTTCAAGGCAACCCAGTAGGGCTGGAACTGTAAGGCTGGAGCTCATCAAGTTTATCTTCTTTTTCTATTCATCCCCAGGACTGCAGTGGGCATATGGGGATATTAAAAAATCACATCCAGACCGGGCATAGTGACACATGCCTGTAATCCCAGCTACTCTGGAGGCTGAGGCAGGAGAATCACAAGTTCAAATGACTATCTCAGCAACTTAGCAAGACCTTGTCTTAAGACAAAATGAAGTTTTAAAAGATTTGGGGCTGTATCTCAGTGTTAGAGCACTTGCCTAGCATGTGCAAGGCCCTAGGTTTCATTCCCAGTACCATGAGGGCAGAGGGCATCATGTGTAGAACGAAGGTATTAACCACACATCCATACTTCTGACTTGTTACATACCCTGCATTTATAAAATAAAGACAAAATGAGAGAGGAAAGAGGGACTAACACCTGCAGGCCCCAAGTACATGTTAGCAGCTACACCTCACTTAAATATCACAGAAAGGGGACTGGGGTTGTAGCTCAGTGATAGAGCACTTACCTATTACATGTGAGGCACTAGGTTCAATCCTCAGCACCACATAAAAATGAATAAATAAAATAAAGATATGGTGTATTTAAAAAGAAGCCAGGCACGGTGGTGTACACCTGTAATCCTAGCATCTCAGGAGGCTGAGGCTCTAGAGTTCAAAGCCAGTCTCAGCAATGGCAAGGTGCTAAGCAACTCAGTGAGACCCTGTCTCTAAATAAAATACAAAATAGGGCTGGGGATGTGGCTCAGTGCTCAAGTGGCCCTGAGTTCAATCCCCAGTACTCCCCCCAAAAAAAATCACAAAAAAAGTTTTCAAGCCGATTAGTAGTAGCCCCATTTTAAAGAAAAGACAACTCAGGTTCACAAAGATCAAAATCCACTCTGAGGTCACACAGCTGGCACAGACAAGCCACACTTGTCCAACTCCAGAGCACATGCCTCCTGCCCTTGGCCAGTCTTTCTCACCCACAACACCTACATCTCTCCCTGCCCACCTGTCACCTGACCTCACGCCATGACCCTTCCTCCCCCAAGCTGGGCCCAGACTGATCAGCCTACTTCTTTTTTCCACCCTTTTCCTCTCCTTTTGCCAGCTTGCTTCTATTCCTCTCCGGAAGGCCTTCCACTTGCACTGGCAGCTTGCTTCAAACCCCTTCAAGCACTAGGACCCCAAAGATCTCAATTCCTGAGTATTCGAACCTGTGTTCAGTCCACTAGGCCTTGAGAGGAAATATATTTCTCCCCTCTGCTCCACAGGGCAGTAGGTAGACAAGCCCAGCTCCTCTCCTTCGGGATTTTCTTGGATTAACACTAGGCTGCGGGCCTGTTGGTTTCTTTTCCAAAACTCAGTTGCTGCCAGATCCAAATGCGCATTGATGTATAGATTGACTCATTTGCACGTGTGTGTTCATTCACGTGCGCGTGCGCGCACACACACACACACAGAAACACAAACACACAATTCCTCTGTAAGCCTTTTGGAAGCAAAACTAAGTTCTCCATGACTTTGGGTACCCTCTCAGCCTCCTTGTTGTCAGCCCTTGAGGGACTCCCCAGCTGTGCGAGATGACAGAGTACCAAACACCTGCCCAGGGACTCGCACGCACCCAGAACTGATGGCTGAGAGGTTGCCACATGCAAGCTGTGGGGCACAGGCAGGGGCAGGTGTGGTGATGTTTTGAGAGCTTTTTGAGGGATGGGACTGAGAAAAGAATTAAGAGGCATGCGATGACAAGCCACCCAGCCCTGCGGGACTCCATCAGGGACGTGGGAGAAGGGAATTTCAGGGGAGTGGGGAAAACTAAAGCCTGGGAGGAGTACAGGGGAGTCACAGACAATGGGGAGGCGGGGTGAGATGTTGAAAGCTGACAGGCAGCAGAGGAGGGGCCAAGGCTTTTTATGCAGGACCGAGAGATGCAAGGGGACGAGGGGCGGCCCTATTGAAGACAGACAGCAAAGGCGGCCCCCAGGAGCCACGCATGGGCAGTGTGGGAGCAGAGCAGCCCAGCAGCAGGAAGCCAAAGACACTTGTGCAGGAAAGAGTCAGTGGACAGTGTCTACTCTGTGCTGTGGGGTCAGTTAGACCTGGGTCCCATTCCTGACTGCATGTCCCTAGCTGTGTGACCCTAGGGAGATCATCAACCCTCTCTGAGCATAAATTTTCTCCTTTGTAAAGCTGGGACTATATCTACCTTCCAAGGAAACTACAAGGAGTAAATGATAAAGAGAAGAGAGAGAATTCTTTCTCACTCTTGCATTTGGAAGGACCCAGAGACTGATAGAATCAAGAAAACTTTGGAACAAGCCCCTGTTTCACTGGAAATAGTGAAAGGGCTAGGAAAAGAAGTTTAAGTTTTTTAAATTAGGTTATTTTGTAAGAGAAAGTCTGAGGGCCCATAAAGTCCAACCTGTCATAGGGAAGCTAGGGATCCACTGCATAGAAGTGACACTAAGCACACCAGACGCCGAAGAAATCCAGGGCTAGATGTGAGAGACCCTGCTTTCCCTCTGGAATGTGCGTTAGGCAGGGTGAGAACCTGCTCCAAGGGATGACCACCCTGGAACAGGAGTGGAAGCTGAGCTGAACACCAAGAGCCCCCCAGAAGTCCTTCCAGGCTTTGGACTGGGCCATTTGGAACTGATTGTCCATGCTGGAGAACCTCACAGCACTCCCGGTTCCCAGCCCAACCCTGCAAGAGGGTGTTGATCAACTAGAAGACCTCCCCCGATTGGAAAGCTGATAAAATCAGGGCAGCAAGTCCAACAAAACCGTGAGAGTCACACTGGACTTGAAGCCGGACTGGTGGAGCACCGAACTCATTGTTGTGAAGACACATCCTGGGCAGGGTAATGAGGGCAAGGCGGCATTCTCAAGACACTCTTCCTCAGACCAAGAGCTTTCCCAGCCCAGAAACACACATCTTGTCCAAGGTCAGAAGGAGTTAGAATTCTATTGAGCCAATGGTTGCTCTTCCTGTTTGCAATGCCCTGAGATAAAAATCTCTGTAACTGAGACGCTGGTGGAATTAAATTTAGATTTCCAGGGTGCTCCGCCCTGCCACAGCCTCCCAGAGGGAGGAGCGGTTGGCAGACTTCCCCTGGGATCTCACCACCTGAGTGTCGCTCCCTCCTGATGGCCTCCATCTGATGAACAGACGGGCCAGCTTTGCTCTTCCCATGGGTATCTGCTGTGGGAAAGCCTGATCAGGGCAGGGAGGGAGTGCTCCATACCTGGATGGCCTACCCACAGGTGGTCTCCCCAGCCCTCTCTCAGACACAGTGAGAACTAGAGGAGATAATGTATGTGAGGTGTTTTGTGCATGGTTCATAGAATTTCTTGTTTTCTCTGGGGTGACTTGCAGGTGAGTGGCATTTGCTCTTGTGGGACACTCTCCCTGTCTATACCAAGAAACCTCCTCCAGTGTCTTTTGGTGCTAGCTCCCGTTTCTCAGGTCCCTAGAGTAATTCCCTCTTTCCCTGAACATCAACAGACTTCTCCCCTAGACCCTGGTTCCTTTTTTTTTTTTTTTTTTTTGACTGACTCTTCTTCCCTCTGGCTATTAATTCCCTGCCCTGTGGCATCTAGGTTCCAACATTCCTAGGATTGGGTCACATTGTTCCCTCCATCCCTCCCTCATCCTATCTGATTCAGATAGTCAAGACTTCTGAAAAGTCAAAGCCTCATTTTCTGGAACAACCCCAATTCCTACCCAGGAGAAGGATGGGGAAGATGACCTTGGCCTGGCCTTGCCCTTATGCTTTTTCCCAGAGCTGACCTGGATTCCCTTAGAGCATCATACACACATGTGTGATTCCAGGGATAATCAGGCCACACCCTGAAGTAGGTCTGGTGGTGCCAGAAAACTTGGATTCATTTTAGAATATTGTCTGGGACCACGACTTTCTCCTTCCCTGGCATCGGATCCTATTTTTCCCATAGAGTAGAATTCCTTTTTTCTCAGGCTCTACCACATGGACTCTTAGGGTGGCAAAGATATGGGAATCCTCCATACACACATCCCCACCCACGTTCCACTCCCTCCCTCAACCTCCTGCTAGACAGCTAGCCAGCCTCTGCTTGAAACTTGATAACTCTCCAAGTGGCCTCACCCATCTCAGGATCAATAGAAAGGTGCTTCTGATATATAGCCAAATCTGCTATAGATCTCACATGTGCATCTGGGTCATCAGCTGGGGCTTACCCCCCTTTCCTATGGAAGCTCTTCAAATCTTTGCAATTAGCTGTTCCATTACTCCCAGCGACTACTGCCCAGGTCCTCCCATCATCCCTCATGTAGCCAGGCTTCTGATTCACCACCACCGTGGTCCTGGTCACTCTGTTCTCAATAGGCTCCTATTTATCACTGTCTTCAGCATTCAGAGCCCTCAGAGGGTCCAAATACAGAACAATCCCTCTTCCTGGCTGTTGCCTTCCTAGTTCCCATGGCTTTCTCCAGCAACCACCACGCCCCATTGACTCATGTGTTCTCACTGTCAGCTGAACACTGTCAATCATTTTTATGTCCACAGCTGTCTGTCCACATCTTCCCTGCCTAGTCCTTGTGCGCTCATTTTTTACTTTAAAAACAGGACTTTGCGCTGTCCACCCTCCTCTTCTTCCCTTTGGGCAGTCCTTCTGGCCCAACTGCTCTCTTCTCAGCCTTTCCCCAATAGGCCTGCTGCCAAGACAGGTGAGACAGGAAGAAATTTCTCAGAGTGACTGTCGGGTGTGCCTGGGAATGCAATGTCTTTTCAATATGGGTTACGGTTGTGTTCGAATGAACCCCATATCCAAATTCCATCTTTATTCCTTCGGGGAACAAGAAGGCAAGTCATAACTATTATGTGAGTCCTTGACTTGGACTCTGAAATGCCATACAGGATAAGGCGATGGCTTAACCTGCTCCATTTTTAAATTTCTGCAACTTTGCTTCTCTCAAGGCATCGACCAAAATGTTCCTGCCCTTGACCCCCACTCGGTAACTGGACCTCAGCCCCTTGCCTCCCTGCTTGGTTTCTCCCATCCTGCTGTCCCTTTTAACAACATCTACTCTCTTACCTTTGAGTCTCTGGGCATACTAGACCCCTGTCAACACCTGCCCCTACTCTTCTACTTTCCAGTCTTCTAGAAGTCTGTTGGGACCAAACTCCCTTCCCCAGCACTGGCACCTACTGCTGGCTCACTGCTCCTTTCTGGTGGGTCTACCTGTGTCCTCAGAAGGCCTTGCTTCCACCCTCAGGCTAGGTGGTCCATAGAGGTATACACGCTGGTTTCTCCCCTATCAAAGCCTCCCTCTACCCCATAAGATTTCATCTGAGTTGTGAGCACTTTAAGATTCAGAGATGAGTTCATCCAACACTGCCTTCCCAGTGCCCAGGTCACTGCCTGCCATACAGTAGAAACTTAATAAATGCCTGTTGAACAAACATGTAATTGGCTTTTGAAGATGGGCCACTTTAAAGATTAATAAGATTATTCTGCAAGGCTCTTCAAGATTATGTATTACTTGTACAATAAAAATGATAAACCTTAATTTCCCAAATATGAATAATTTCAAAAACAAGAAAAAAAAATAACTCATTTCCAGACCAAGTGACATTTTGAGATCACAGAAAAATTTATTGTAGAAAGACTGGAAATGCCAAGCCCTTCAAGATACACCTTTTAACCAGGAAATGATGAAGTCAAAGGTACTTCCCAAGGGACCCCCCACAGAGCCCCTCAGATGCCCCAACAGAATCATGGATATGGAGGTTGTGTCGAGACTCAGGAAGCCAGTGAAGGGGACTCCAGATCCTAGAAGCAAAGCCACACTTGAGAGGGCTCAAGCCACATGTTGGCTGACATTTTCCCCTGCCAGACCCCTCCAGCACGTCTCAAGCACCTTTTATAAGACCCTAAAGTAGAAGTCAAAGTCTCACAAAGTGCTCAAAGAGAACAGAAGTGAAAAGGGACTTGTGAGGTCTGGAAAAGGGCATTAACCGCCTGGGACAAAAACAGGCAGCTTCCAGACTGGCTCAGGACTGGAACCCTCCCAAGTCAGATCCTCACAGTCCTCAGGCTTCAAGCCCTGGGCACCTTGGGTGGATCAGAACAGGGCTGTAGACGCCCAGCCCACTGGGCAACTCTCTGCAGACCCATAATGGAGCAGAGTGCAGGAAGGGGCAATCTTCCAAAGATGGAGCTGTCTGGAGGGCAGGATAGAAACAGAACTCGGCCATCTGTTGGTCATACTTCCATTCACTGCTAAGAACAATCCTCCCTTTAGACAAAAACAGGGGGTTTGACAACTCCCACATGGGGCTGTAAACCAGAGAGATAATACTTCTCAACACAGAGATTCAGAATCAGGACAGGCATGACCTACAGGCATCTCAGATAGTCAGTACATCAATCATCAAGATCAAAGTATGAGGTTACAAAGAATCAGGAATTGACCCCTGGTAGTTTCCTCTTACCAAGCAGCTAGCCTGGAAATCTGCTACTTGCCCATAGGGATCATTTTGTGAGCAACTTGAGGGATGGACTGTGGAATCATGCAGCTGCCAAGGTACAAGAAAGGAAGCCTGGGGTTGAGATGCTTGGTAAACCTGACATACTCTCAATCATCCACCTTGCAGAAGCTCTGCGACTTTCCTGTCCATCAACTATGTGCCTTAGTGTCCCCAAGGTAAGGAGCAGGGTCAGACGAGGGGATCCCGAATGAGAGTGTAACTGCCTTTGACCACAAGCCGGTGCCCTCCAAAGAGAGAGCTGCTATTTGTGCTTATCCACCCAGCTTCCTCGCCTAGAGTCGAATTTATTAGCAAAACTGCTGAGACCCATCAGGAAAAGCTAAGTGAGAGGGAGTCAGGAAGGGCAGAGCGGGGGAGGCGACAGGAGAAGAGCCAGGGGGGCGCATCCTGTGTGTGAGCCCTGAGAGGCGCCGCTCTGCCCCTACTCCACGATTCGCTTGCGGGAGGTGTTGGTGGAGGTTTGGATGATCTGCACGCGCGAGGAGCCGCCACCGTATTTGCTGTTGCTTTTACTGCTTCCTCCATAGCTCCCGCCGCCGCC